AAAAATTTACCGAGGCAAAATGGAGAATAACATATATTAATTTATTTTTCAAAAAATTACAATTTTAAATATTTATTAATAAATCAATAAAATTTATCAAAATTGAAGGCTGAATAAATGTAATGATAAAATGGCCAAATATAATAAAATAAAAATGATAATTATATTAATACAAGCAAACTTTTATATCATATTGAGAGAGATTTTACCGGTATTAATTATTAAGGCAATACTATTTATTTTTTTATTTAATAAAATTTGGTTATCCCTCTGATATTATTGTGAAATTTTTTTAATATCCTTTTAAATTAAATAATTAAATTTTTCATTAAAAATTATTTCTGATCTCGTTACAAAATTTTGCTGTTATAATGAGGGTGAAATTTATAGTAGAAGAAATAATACATTATCGTTCTATTTGAGACAATAATTATGTTTTATTTATTCTGTAAATTTTAGTTTCGTAATCATTACATTTTTCAATATTTTACTATGATTAGATCGTGCATTTTTTCCTTACAATTTTTCAAAAAATAAATTAAAAGTGAATAATTTTATGCTATGTTTGGATATGAATTGGGACTAAATATTTTATTTGAATATATAAAAATTTATGGATTTAAACTTGACTCAAATTCAAATTCAAATTCAAATTTTATTATAACTTCTTTGTAATTTTAAATTTATTTTAAATTTTAATTATTTAAAATTTTGGCTACTCTAACCTTTCTTTTCTTTTTATATATATTTTTTTATTATTGATGGCTTTATTACTCTTGCCTCTCATCTTACTTCTTATCTTTATCTTTCACTGATTGAAAAATAAAGATAAACTTGTCACTCCTAATCTATCATTATTTTGAATCCTAGCTTGCTTCTCTTCAAATTAATTTTTTTTACAATATTTAAACAAAGTAGTTTAAATACATATGTTTTAAATATGAGATTTTAAATCTAGATTCAAATTCAAATCTATCAATCTAAATGCAACCTTAGGGTTTTTAAAAGAAACATGTAAAAAAAATTAAAATTGCATAATTTTATTATGATAAAATATCGAGATGTCTCTTATTTTATATAAAGTTTAAGAATAAAAACAAACAACAATTGAGAAGCTCGTATTCCCTCCGTTTCTATTTATAAGAGAAACTATTATTTTTTACTTATTTTTTTATAAAAGTAAAATCATATATTTCAATAACCATTTATTACACATTTTCTAAATCACCCCTTATAATTTATATTAATAAAAAATAATTAATACATACTTATATTGATTAACATAAGACATTTTAATTTAATTTTTTTATTTTCAAATATAAGTATTATGATTAACCAATTTTATTAAACTGTGTGATATAATTTTTTGTTTTATATATAATAATGGAGAGAGTACGTCAATAATTTGCATTGAAATTTGAAAACTATCTCATGAATGTAATAAAGATATTCTTAAAATCCTAATACCTGTTTTGTGGCGTAGAGTTGGAATTGGAGAAATGGGAGGGGAGGTAGAGCTAAAAAATATTCTATTTGGTCTAGTTAATCCTAATTTTTTAAAAAAATTTGGTTCTGAACTCAATCTACCTTAATATTCATGAAACTCACTTCCTTCTTTACTTCCTTCATAAAAATGATCCATTTTCATGTGTATATCAAATACGTTCTAAAAACTCATGTCTACCACCAAACATTTGAATCAACCAATAAAGAAGTTGGTCTCTCTTAACATAAGGTATCGAGTTTAAGTCCTTGATATACAACAATAATTAAATTCATGATAGAAAGTATGTCACACAGAAAGATGCCCTCAATTGCAAATTAGATTAGTCTTAGGTCATATACCTAAGATATTAAATCTCATGCAAAAAAAAAAAAAAAACCTCATCTTCACCTCACTTCCTCTTCCACTCCCATAAAAAAATGTAAGGGAATTTTTTTAGATTAAATGTTCAAAAATATAAACTATTTTTAATCTTGTAAAATATCCTTAATAAATAAAATAATCAATATTTTACATTTAAATGAGACATTATATTAAATAAGAAAAAAATATAAAAACATGATATAAATTTAAAGATAATTACCTAAAAACTTATTAAAAAAGTGATTCAATTAAAAATATTATATATTTTAAAATAAAAAATAGAATTATTAAAATTAATTAATTTTTTAAATAATATGAATTGGTTAGAATTTTCTTATATATTTAAAAACAGAGAGAAAGTACATAAAAGGCATAAACATAAAAGCTAATTAAACAGTTTACTTTAATTTTCAACGGAAAATCAGGATAAAAGTAAAAAAAAAAAAAAATTGTTTCTACGTCTCCCGTATCCAACCCAAGGCCCAGTGACATGGAGAAAGCGAGATATGGCGTTTGGTTAAGTTTAGAGATTCGAAAAAGCTGCACGGCCGCCCCCCGCGCCTCCACGAGGCAAGCGAGCCACAGCGTCCTTCTCCTCTCTCTCTCTCTCTCTCTCTCTCTCTCTCTCTCTCTCTCTAATGGTCGGTGGTCCTTCCCGGTGGAGGGCTCCAGCCTCCATTGTGTGATTATTATGTCTATTATTTTACATTATTCTTAATTTTTATCATCGTTACTTGATTTTCTTGAATTTGTTATGTAATATTTTTGTATGGATTATATTTTTATGATAATTTCTTTGTTCAAGACCAGATTCCATCTGAACAACCTCTGTTCATATTTGACCCAAAATTAAAGGTGGTAATTTGGGTTAGTTTGTATAAACCAAAATAACTTTTTAAAATTGGGTTTAAGAGTTTATAAAATTTTCTATATTTAGTGCAAATACTTGAATTCCTTTTTCTTATTATGTCAAATATAACTTAATCAGATAGTCATATAAGAAAAATACTTAGGTAAATTATATGTATCATGCTATTTATAATCTATCTAATAAAAATATGACATTTAGATGTTATTAAATCTAAATTAATTATAATATTAATGAGAGTACAAAAAAGTAAAAAATTAAATATACATTTTGTTATAAAAATAAAATTAATTTAAAAATATCACATAAGATTTTATTTAGATTACTTGATACATTTTAATTAGACAGACCACAAATGACGTGGTGCATTCGGTCTACCTAAGTATTTCTCAGTCAGAAAAAAAACCATAATTATTATGATCATTTTTGTAAATATGTAGAAAAATATTTTTTTATTTGAAATAAATACTCATATTATTAATTTTTAATAGCATGAAAATAATAAAAGTGCAAGATTTTATAATAAACATTACCTATACCCCTTCCATTTTAAAGTATTTATACAAATATTTAAAATACAATTAATATATAAAAATATATTGATATTGACTGCATTACTAAATTTACTTTCACATTTAGAAATATTAGTATTATTTTAAAATTATTGGAATAAATAGTAAGTGTGTAATATAAAAACATTATAAATATTGTTTTAAATTAAAAATATTTTTTTAAAAAAATTACTCCATCTATATCAAATTATAAAACACTTTTGGGGTAATTTGGCATTTCAAGATATGAGATATTTTTTTAATAAAAATATGGTTTTATTAATAATGTTTTTTTAATATTATCATTCCCATCATGTTCTCTCTCTTTTTAACATTTTTTATAAATAAAGTATTAAATAAAAAGTATTTTTTAAAATTTTATATTTTTATCTTAAAAAATAAGATTGTAAAATGTATTCAAAGAGTTTTATTTGTCTAATATGCATAAATTTTTTTAAAAAAATATCTTATAAATTAAATTGAGATAAAATAGTAATACATCTTGGGTTATAATAGCATTTCAACAATTTTTATATTTTTATCTAATTACTAATTAGATCTAAACATTACTAGAGATCATAAGTTATTTTTAAACATTACTCCTTTTGTCTTAAATGATATGATGCTTTTGAAGAAATTGTCGTCCTAAAATATAAGATACTTTAAGATTAATGTGTCATTAAATAGGTTGATTTTAATATTTTTCTTTCTTCTCTCTATTTAATACTAATTAGGTATAGATTTAAAGATATTAAATGAAGAGTATTTTTAAAAATTTATATTTTTATTTTAAAAAAAATAATATTGTTAGATACTCCCTCCACCCATATATATAAGATATTTTTTAAAAGCTTATTTTATTCATAAATATAAGAAGTGGCAATAATTTTTTTTGAGTAATTAAAATTTTTTTCCTTCTCTTAAAAAATAAAATAGATCATTAAATATATATATTCTCTACGGCCATTATAATATTAACAATGATATTATTAAGGATAAAATTAAAAAATTATTATATTTTTATGTGAGTTTAACAAAATAATAAACTTTATTAATATATAAAATTTAATTAAAAATATTTTATATATAGAGATAAAGGGAGTATATTTAATAATATTTATTAATATATAAAATTGTATTTAAAAATGTTTTAAAATTTAAGATGGAATGAGTATTAGAGTTAATGAGATGCAATTCTCTAGAAAAACGTTTTCTATATTTACATGTGTTGGAACTTGTGATCTCTTGTTTCGACAATCAAAGTCTGTTTCACTATGATCAACGCTTTATAAATCATCAGTCGTGTTTCGATACTGGGCGGAGGCATACACGGGAACTTGATCACCAAACTTGATCCATCGACAGTAGCAGCCATTCGGAGGGAGGGCATCAGGACAACGTCAACGTGCGCCATTGTTCTTCCGCGTGTTATGACGGCCTTCCACTTGCAAAGCCCACGAGGTGCTCGAGCTCTCCTTGTCCCAGCTCAATTATGAACCCTCCATTATAATCGCCCCCTTCCCACGCCACCCCACATTATGAACCACAAGACAAAACCAAGCTAAGCCAAACCAAACTAGACTAAACAACCTCTCCACCGCCACAGCCCCTTGGGCCTTTAGGTAATTTCACTCACCCTTTATCTTTTCTTTTTTTTTTTTCTGTCTTTTCCTTCTTTTCCTCTCTTTTTTCCTTTTCTGGTAAGTTGTATCCAAGTTGGTCTTGGTCTCACCTCGCTTCTTTCAAGTTTGAGCCAACCAGATTGGTCTGTTGTTTTGTCGTCTTGGAAAGTCGGAAACTTTGAACGCTCCACTTTCAAACTGCTCTTCCCGAGGGCAGCCACCACTCTAGTTCAATGAATCAATCCTATCCTCAACCCAGATTACACGAGACACTGCTATATACTGGCGTCGCGGTGAAGAACAACTCCGATACTGTTTAGGGCGTTAATACGTAGAGGTACACAAGCATACGACCCTCCCTCCCGTTTTTAAACATCTCCGAAAATCTTAATGGTAGTGTGTAAATCGGAGGGTGTTGGGAAAGCTGGGATTCGGATAAGCCGCCTGCCACGACGGTTTCTTCTTCCGTTTAATGGTAGTGTGTGAATCGTGGAATTCGTTTTAAGTTTCTGTGTGGCGAGTGGGTTTTCTGTCAAAATCATAATTAGGTGAATCTGATTCGGGGGACTTTATTTGTGTTAGGGTTTTCATGTAATGCAAGCAAGCAAAACCCATGTGCCCCGTGCCTGATTTCTGCGGTAAAGTTTGACATAAAAAAAGGTCCGAGTTTTGGGATTGTGTTCCTTATATTTTCGGGTACGGTTGTAGAGATCTAAATCTAGTAGTTCAAGAAGTAGAGCTTTTTTCTTCTTTCACTTTTGTTATTCGAGGGATTGAAGCTTGGTTTTGTCGCGTTTGTCTTTGCTCAATTCATAGAAGCATCAAGAAACGGAGTGTGAAGACAAAAGTCCCATCTTGTTCCTGGTCATAAGCTTTTTATTGGTGATTCTCAAAAATGGCGAATCGGTGGTGGGCAGGTAACGTGTCAATGAGACCAAAAGATCCCTTGTCTTCTCCATCGCTTCATCTGAGAAATCCAGAGGATAACCATGGCGAGATGAACCGGTTCGGTGCTGTGCGAGAGCAAGACTTCCTGGAAAACACTAACAACACCACTCCGACCAATAGCAGCAACAGCAACACTAACGCCAACACAAACACTACCTCACAGAGCCAGAACGCTGACGACGGCGACAGCCGAGATAACGGCCGCGAAGCTGATGATCAGAACCCGGGCGGCCACGACGGCACTGAGCCGGGCAGCAGCGGTCGCCGGCCCCGGGGCCGCCCTCCTGGGTCAAAAAACAAGCCAAAGCCACCGGTGGTGGTAACCAAGGAGAGTCCTAACGCCCTCCGCAGCCACGTGTTGGAAATATCCAGCGGCACCGACGTTGCTGAGAGCCTCTCCACCTTCGCTAACCGGAGACATCGTGGGGTCTCGGTGCTCAGCGGAAGTGGCATTGTGACCAATGTCACTCTCCGGCAGCCAGCAGCACCAGGTGGGATTATCACACTACACGGAAGATTCGAGATTCTGTCTCTGTCCGGGGCGTTTTTGCCGGCCCCTTCACCACCTGGGGCCACCGGGCTGACAGTGTATCTAGCCGGCGGACAAGGGCAGGTTGTTGGTGGTGCTGTGGTGGGTTCACTGGTAGCATCAGGTCCTGTATTGGTGATTGCAGCTACATTCGCTAATGCCACGTATGAAAGATTGCCACTTGAGGATGAGCCATCTGGGGAAGAAGTTGAAGTGAAAACCCAGCAACAGTCAGGAGTAAATTCAGGAACTTCTGGGCCTCCTGCAGCAACTCAAGCTATGAACGAACAAGTATCGATGCCTATGTTCAATAATTTGCCTCCTAATTTGCTGCCAAACAATGATCAAATGCAACATGACGTGTTCTGGGGTACCCCTGCTCGCCACCCTCCTTCTTACTGAGATTATTGAAGAAAACGAAAAGCGTAACCGAGAGAGATCTTTGGTCTTATCTTACTGATGACTTTTGCTAGCAAGGTGAGGAAGTTTTTGTTTATTTGTTTATTGTTAATTGTTATGTTTGAGAGTCTTGAAAGATGATGTTTTGTATAGAGACCTCGTGTTCTAGTTGTATTGCTTTCTCTTCCTTCTGATCTACTACCAGTTTAATATTTTGTTGGTTATTTAATTAATGTATGATTGAGTTGGGAAGGTGTGAAATGATCCAGAAATGGGATTGAAGCTATGCCGGGGCATTTATTGAAGGTAAGTTACTTGAGTTGTTGAATCTGCTTGCTTTTGCTTCTGTTAGTCTTACTAAAATCTACTCCTCTGTCATTGAATTCCTACTAAAATTTATTATTTAGTTGAAATTACATAAAATTATTTAAAAATATCATTACATCCTTTATATTCAGGGATGGAATAAATTTTTAGAAAACTCTCGGGAGGGAGTATGCTATAGTAGAGTTGTTGGAAAGTCGCAATGTTGGTGGGAAGATGAGCGACCGGGTTTGTGCTTTTATTAATATGGTTGATTTGGATGGCGTGTGAAAGGTTGTGTAGATTGTGTCCAGCTTTAGAGTTGTTAAGAACTTGATTCTGAAAATATACTGTTTTGCTTTAGAACACTTTCTTATTTATCTAAGGAACTTTAATGTAATGGGCCAATGAGAGCGCACCTAATTGTGGACTTGCCCATTGCATCTAAAAGTAAAAGAAAACCATTGCACTCTTAATTTTATTTTAGGTGGAAGTAGTTCTCTACTTCTCTTTGAGAATTACTTTAAACAAAAAACGATGATACTACTTTATAGTTCTTAGATTTTTCTCTCATTATCAATTTATTCTTTAAATTTTGATTCAATGTATCTTAATGCTTGTGTTTTATTAAGTTTAAATAATTATAACAATTGAGTTGTAATGAGTGTTAAAAAATTTATAAAAATTGAGTTGATCGAGTGAAAAAAGCTTTAAGGACTATGTTTTTTTGAGTTGAAGTTTAAAGAATGAAAGTTCACATATTAAAAATGTATTTTAAGAGGGGGGTGAGGGAGATTGGGATTACTTGGGGTGTCTTTGGAAAAGGAATTTGAAAATTTTGTGTAGTGATCAATGTTTTTTTTAAAAAAAAAACAAAATTGTGTATTAATCATTACTCGTCTGTTTTTATATGTTAAATAATTTTTCCCCCAAAAATGAGCATTTAACCTTTAAATGTTACTTCCTCCAGCCTCGCCTATAATGTACATTTTAAAATGTCTATTTGATTTCATTTATAAGTTTCTTCAGGTAATATTTAAAAGAATTTTTAAAATTATCTTTTATGGAAAAAAAGGTAATATAACATCATTTTTTAAATTTGATATATAAGGATATTTTAAAAATTTTGCATACTTTTATTTTTTTTATTTTTTATATTGATATTGATGATATTAGTAAAAATAATTTATAAAAAAAATTAGAAGAATAATATTTTATTCATAAGTTTTTTATTTCATTTTATTTTTTTTATTCCTTTTCACTATAGCATGGGGCATTTTTTTGGTCCTGTTCTGGCTATATTTTGTTCATAACACATGGTGAGTTGTTTGGAGTATAAAATAAAGTTACACTAAATTTATAAATGGTATAACTTATTAAAATTTTACGTTATATGATGTTTATGATTTAAACAGTATTAACGTGTGTGCAAGTTCCAAAATATTAAAGTACAATAAGAGTACATCCATGTCACTCGCTCTGAATTTACACTTTTAAATCTCTATAAATTATTTTTACTAACTTTATTAATATTAATATAAAAATGATAATAAATAAGAGTATGTAGAATTTAAAATACATCTCTATATAATAAATTTAAAAAATAATATTATATTATTTTTTTTAATAAAGGGTAATTTTAAAAATATTTTTTAATTATTATTTAAAAAAACTGTATTATAATTTATAAATGAAATTAAATTAATTTTTTAAAATGTAATTTATAAATGAAATTGAAAAGAGTATATTTAAAAAAAAAAGAGAGAAAGGAAGGGGAAAAAAAAAAAAAGGTTTGTATAATATTGGAGTCATATCTACTTTAGTAATTTAAAGAGCCAGATTCTGTAAGTGTACTGTGACTCAGTTGTGTCCCTTGTGTATCATCCTGACCGACAAATGAAGACATGAATCCATGTATGAACGTACTTGGCTTCTAGTACTTTTGTCTCCTTCAGTGGGCCACTCAGATACCAACAATATCTTGGGTTTCATTACTATAGATTCAGTGCATTATTTCTTTTCGTTTTTGTTTTTTTGGGCCAGATGTGTTATTTCTTATCTGAGTTATAATTAGGAGAATGGCATGTGATATGTTCCGACGAGATCATTCATAATGTTTTATTTTGGCCAAGAACTTTTTATACTTATCTTAAAAAGGATGCTTGTTTACATAATATAGCATAGTTATAAATCTCAAAACAAAAAATAGTTGCAAATAAATACACACGCACTACCATGGGTTCGTGAATCGACAGCTTCTTCAAGTAGCCCAGATTAGTTGGGAAGTGCTGATTTCGCAGTCCATATATGTCTTGTTCTTTTGATTCAATATTTATAATCATCGCTGCCTTAACATATATTTTAAATTCATCTAAAATCTACAAATTAATTAATAAAGCATGAGATGAGTCACACTATTCTAGTCCAGTTTTGGTTCATTTTGCCTGCCTAATTTATCACTTAGTCCTGCCAAACCTAATCTAATTAATTGGGTTGGGCAAGTTCTTCAAGTTGGGTTATGAACTGTCATTGGTTCTGAGTTGAGAACGGGATTTGATAACTTCCCAAACAAAATATTTTGACAGCGGTTTAGTCAAAACATGATTTTGACTAGGACCAACAGATCTCTAAACACATCTAATAGTGATGATTAGATATAAACCCTACAAAGTCATAATTTTTTTTCTTTCGCTGAGCCAACCTTTGTGAGTTATGCGTCATATTAATAATTTTACATACTAATAACTCATCTAACAGATTTTAGTGAGTATGGACCTTATACCAGTTTGTATGGTTTAGGTTGTTTGACTATTTTCTTTTAAATATAAATTCTTCATCCCCAAAAATTTGCGGTGCCTTCCACAGTTCCACTAGAAAGATATATAAATTTAAACTTAAACACTTTAGGAGAAATAAACATGTTAAAATCAAATCCAAAGACTTTACACATATAAGAATTGACGTTGCAGTGCCACTTGAAGAATCCAAATAGACGAGGCTATCCACCGCGACCACTTGTGAACATCACGCGTAGATTCTTTATCAATGTTTTAAGGGTGTCGACAAATAATATGTTGCAATTAATTAAAACTTGGGTAGTAGTTTGAGAAGTTAACAGTGTCGAGCTTATTAATTGGGACCCCGATAGTCAATCCGACCAATTACCAAACAAAGCTAATTTGTTCTCGTAAAAAAAACACGAGACTCCTATACTCTCTTGTTCCCAATTCATGTGACACTTGTAAAGGAAATTTGTCTTTCCAGAATATAATATACTTGGATAACAAAAAGATTTTATTAATTTTTTAATATTAATTTTTTCATATATTTTTAATTTTTAATATTCTCTCATAATTAAAATATTTCATGAAAGGTATTTATAAAAGTTTATATTTTTTATTTTGAAAATGTAAAATATATTTAATAAATTTTATCAATATGTATAATTTTATTTAAAAATGTCTTCTGGATGGGATGGAAGTAGCACTATGTATCATAATACGAACCCAATTAACACTAACTAATTGGCATATAAAGACGTCTGTCCTTATCCTCAGGGTCTTGTGACACAATCCTTAGAAGGCCTTCACTGAAGTGTGCAACATAATAATATTGATCAAAATTTGATTCATAACATCACATATTTAAATCTCACTGTTAATATAAGCAAAGATGTTCATGGGATGAGATGGGGTTGGGATATTCTTGTCCCATTTTCTATCCCAAAAAATTATAGGGATTAAATTTTTGTCTCAGTTATGTTTTATCTCGTTTCAAAAGTCATCTCATCTTATTAAGAATTAGGACCAAATGAGGACATCCCAACAGAGCAAACAACATAGGAGAAAGCCCTAAATAACATTTAGTAAAATATTAAAATACATAATTTGTTAAATTTAAAACCAAAACAATTGAATTACATAAATTACAATGATTTAAAATTAATTTTTGAGTGATATTAATCACAACTAAAGGTACACAATTTAAATTTAAATATATATGAGACATAATATATCATGATAACAATTAGAAGTGACTTTCAGGCTTCAAGAGCAAAAGCAATAAACAAGTCAGACATAACATCAAATTATTATTATTATTTAGTTTCAATGTTTAAATATCTCAACTAAAATTGTTAAATAGATAAATATAAAAATAAATTGTATTGACATAATTAATACATTGTAAAACAATATATCACTGGGCCGAGAAAGACTATACTGATATGATCAGGTTGAACTAGATCAGTCAAAATGGATGTAAGATTGAACACCCATAGATGTAAGGATTTTTTTTATAAGTAATTTGTAAATATATTTATGAGTGTTCTTTGAACTCACAAACACATACTTTTGCTGACCTATCAAGACTTAATTTACTTAAATTTTATTTTACGAAATAAAACAAGCGTCCAATGTCATTCAATTTTTAACTTAGGAGGGAGTTTTTGAACTCGCTTCAAAAATTGGGGGCACCCACTGTCAGAATGATTTTTTTTCACTTTTTGTTGTTGTTGTTAACATAGTCTCAATTAATTTGTCACGTATTCTTACATCCCTCTGGTTATATCTTTAAAATTGTTAAAAAATTGTAATTTTTTAATTTTGTAGTTCTTTATCATTAATAACTATAATAAATTAGTAAAGCAATTGTGTTATGCACAGGTTATACATGGCAAATTTTTTAAAATACGTGACATCCATCACTTATAACCAAATTTTGCATGAAAAAAAATCTTTTATGAAATAATAGTATGTAACAGCACATCTTCCGCATTATCTTATAAGTAGTGGGATTGTTTAGTTAATTTATGTGAATATAATAATTTTTAATTTTTAAATAATTAGTGTTTATTTTCTTAACATGCTTTCATCCTTCAATTTTTAAGGCTAGCACTAAAAGTTATAAA